TCTTTCTGCCAAGAAAGGCACAAGTTGCTGGAGAAACGAGGAGTGGTGTAGACCGGGGGTTATCACCCTCGGAAGTTTTGTGGCTGAATTACCTCTTCCCCTGAGAATATTGCAGCTCAAAACGCAGCCTGCATGCGGGGCGGGGGCGGGGGGGGGCACTGAAGTCAACAGAACGTGCATTTCACACTGGGTTTCCACTAAAAAGCTCCCTAAGCACAGACAGGCGAAAATTAATTTTCTTTCTTCCTGCCCCACAAAAGCAGATTAAAATCCCCAACAGTGGGACGAGTGGGGAAAAGTGGAAAGTGGAGAGCTTCCTCCCCGAGGGAGACCCCTGCGCGGGCCGGCTTCTCCCCCCCGACAAGGGATGGCCCCAGCCATCTGAAACATTCTGCTGCGAGCATAAAGCCGGACCCAGGAGAATGCACTTGAGAAAAATTACACCGCTGCCCTTCCAACAGTTGAAAGCTGGTATGTAACTTTGCTCGAGGTGATCAAACAGCTAGTCAAGGACGCTGTCAGGAACAGAATGAAATTCCAAATAAATTAGCCATGTCCGAGAAGGCAATACAACACTGGATTAAGGCGCACAAAGAAAACACAATTTATTCAGCCTACCTTGTCAGAATTCTTAATAACCTTGCTCCCTCTTTCTCACCTCGGGCTGAGCCCTCGGACGAAAAGGGACAAAGGGAACCCCACTCGGAACGTGGGGCTGCACATGCGTGCATGCACGGTGGGGGCCTACGGTGTAGGTGAGCAATACGTGTTCATAAAATTGTGCTTTGACGCACGTTTCAGCGGAGACCATACGTGTCGTGCAGGGGAGGCGAGGGGTCTGTCGCCAAGCCCGGCAAGCATGTGCGGCTCTCTCACGTCTGAATGAGAGAGTTCATACATTAGAATACGGGACGTAGGGGCCGAAGGGAGGAATATTAACCATTTCTGCTTAACTCTTTGGGGTGTGGGAGGGAGAGGCGTCCTGCCGGCCTCTCTGGGGACGTCTTGCTGTGGCGGGGGCATCTTTACTCCAACATCCTTTCATGGTTTAAGGCAACAAGTAGGTGAAAGGTAGCCACAGCCTCTTGCAAAGACTCACTGTCCTCTGATACGACTCACTAATACCGTCAACGGTGCTAAAAACAATACCAGTTTTTTCTTTCTTTCTTTTTTTTTTTTTTTAATCAATGAACCCAGACAGCTTTCACACGCCGACTAAAGCTCTTTGAAAGAGTTAACGGGCAGTTCTGCAGCTTTGGAGGGGGCACCTTTGAAGGCTCTGTGGGGATGTATCTGCTTTGCCTAAAGACCTCAGAGAGCCAGGGGCCCTTTCTTCTTCACAAGGAGGC